CATAGTTTACAACAGGGTTCACTCTTGGTGTTCCATTTTTATGTGCTTGTAAAGATGTATGATGACATCCATTCACTATTATAATATCACATAAAATAGTTCACCAAAGTAAAAATCTTCATATTCATCCTTTCCCCCAATGAGTTACAACTATGGATTGTTTTTTTTTTTTTCCAAAGTTTTGCCTTTTCCAGGAAGTCATATACTTGGAACCATACAATATGTAGCGTTTTCAGTTTGTCATCTTCTACTTGTAAATACACATTAAGTTTCCTCTATGTCTTCTCATGACACAGTAGCTCATTTCTTTTTACTAACAAATAATATTTCATTTTCCGGATTTACCATAGTTTATTGATCAGTAACCTACAGGAATGAATCTTGATTGACTTCAAGTTTTGACAATTAGAGTAAGGCTGTTAGAAACATTAATGGAATAACTTGTATGAGCATACGTTTTTAGTTCATTTGTATATTAGTCAAAGAACTCAATTGCTTGATTGTGTGGTAAGAAAATTTCCATGTTTCTATTTTATGTAGAGTTTTTATAATATGTGAGTGTTTACTTCTGTTAAATTCTGTTTTTCTGCATTTATTGATATTGACATGGTTTCTTGCCTTGATCCTTTGGTCTAATAGATTACATTAATTGAAATTTGAGTGTTGGAGAAGCCATACATACTTCAAATAAATCTCAGTTGGTTATAGTGCCTAATTCTTTTTATGCCTTACTGAATTTAATTTGTTAATAATTTATTGAGCATTAGTGGGGTCTTCTTTTCCTTCATTTGAAAAGAAATGAAATTCAGATGCCTTACTAAGATCTGTAATGCCCTTCAGAGTCTGGTTCTTTTCTATCTCTTCAATTTTACCTCTATCCTGACCCTTCCAGACTCTCCTTCAAATATAATGATCTTTCAGTGTCTTCTTGCTCAACTTTTTTCAGTGTTGGATCTTGCCACATGTTTTCCATAGCATCAACTTCTCATATTTGGATTTCACCTTAAATAAATTAAAAATGTCAAAAAGACCTTCTATAATTACCTTAGATTATGTCAGATTGACATAGATTATATCAATCTTATTTTTGTCATAGTACACTAATAGTTGTCCTTTAAAAACATTTTATTAACATACATTAATAGTACAAGGAATTTCATCATGATAATTCTATGGATATGTACAGTGCACTTTGAACAAGTTTGCCACATCTGTTATATTCCCTTAACCTCTTCCCTCCTCCCCCATTGTTTCAAATAGTAATTGGTGGCTTTCATTACAGTATCTTCATTCATATATATTCGTGGATGAATTATATACTTTGATCCTCTTCACTCTCAGTACCTTCTCCTTTCCTTTTCTATCTCCTCCTGATATTGCCCAGATCATCCCCCTTTTAGATGTACATCCCATAATTGTTATCACCATTTTATGTGTAGATTTCACATATGAGTAAAAAAGTGGTATTTGTCTTTTTGAGTTTGCTTATCTTGCTTTAATGATCCTCAGTTCCATTCCATCCATTTTCCTGCAAATGATATAATTTCATTCTTCTTTGTTGCTGAATAATACTCCATTATGTATATATGCCAAATTTAGCACTGATCATGGATTATAATTTATTTGTAAGTTGTTTCCATTTTTGTTTTGTGACTCTCTTGCAAGATATAAAGCCAATGCAAGTAAGAGTGTACTCTGATTTTTTTCTGCTTTATCAACTTTGTTTTCTACAACTAATTGCATAGAACCCAAAATGAAATATACCCTCTCAAGTTTTCTACAACATGAATAAATATATAGTTTCTACCACAAATACATCTTTAAAAATATATCTAACCCTGCACTAATAGGCAAAAAAATTGAGTATTAGGCAAAAGGAAAAATTATTTTGCTCTGGAAAAATGGAGGAAATAAGTGATAAATTCATCTTTGTTGAACAAATTAACAGGACTGATGTTTTACTCTTGGCTTTGAATTTTCCAATAAGGTTTAGGAACTTTTTTTTCTTTCTTATCTCCTAACTTTAGTAATGTGATTGATATAATGAAATCTTTACCTGAAAATATTTTTTAAAAAAACATATGGGAAATCCCAGTGAATTTAATTAAGCAAAAATCAGTCTTGGTTACTTTCCAGGGGAGGACTCTATGTTTAATATGTGCAAAGGTATAAAATCATCAGTGATCTTTGCTCTTGTGAGATAAAAGAGGCTGTCCTCTTTATAATTGATATTTTTTCAGAAAGTGCTTTATTAGTCTTAAAGTATGATCTAAAAAAGCACAAGAATGACCTTTCCAAGTCTCAAGTATAAGTATTTGATCATATCAAGGAAGAAGATGGGCTAAACAGCTGGATAGTAGTTATTCTATATGGAAGTTACTAGACAATAACTTGTGAGAGAAAAAACTTCCCTGTTAATAAAGAGTAGTTATTATTGGACACAGGGTTTATTTGCAATTTTTATAAATTATCCAAACATGAAAAATATTAAATTTTATATTTGTACCATGTAATTCTTTATAATAGCTCTATAATGCAGACAATGTTTTCCTAAAATATTTAAAAGACTATAGAAAATTGACTAACAGTTGTATTACTATGTGAAATTTATCCTTAAGTAATATTGTACATTTATTTTTGCCTTCTGAAATCTTGGATGGAAGAGGGATTTCCAGCTGTTTAAGAGTGAAAACTCCTCCTTCAAAATATGAACAAGCTTGTAAAAGGTAAGGTTTGAAACACTGGTAGTAGAAACCAGATTTTGTGCTTGGATGAGTTTTCCCTTACATAGAAAATGTTGGGGAAAAAACTTCTGCAGGCAGAAATTCCTCAGTCAGTACCAAGATTTTATCCTTGGGTGACAAGAACTCTAATATAGACCCTGACCTATATAAGATAATGAATACTCTGTGATGCCTGCAAGTCTATCTTATTTGATTTACATGACACAATATAGGTATTCTATCCTAACCATTTGATTGAATAAATAAATAAATATCGAATGTTCAATACATGTTTGCACAACATTTATCATTAGTTTAAAGATTTTAATATCTGTTTTGGTCTCTGAAATAGGTATCTACAAAAGAACAGATGAAACAAAGATGTGGGAAAGCATTTTGGCTATTAAGGTATGGTGAAACAGCTTGAGTAGATAAACATGGAGAGTTTCAAGTGGTGCAATTGGGAAGGTTGTCTGGATCTTAGTCAGCTGAAGTCTTGTAGAGTAAAATAGGCTGAATGGATTTTATTGAGCATGCAATAGAAATCTCCTGTAAGAATTTCAAGCACTGGAATGATATGATTTGAATAAGATTTAAAAAGGTCACTTGGGCTATTTCAGGAAAAGTTTGCTGGGGTAGACACAGAAGAGGGCTATTGCAGTAGATGAAGAATGTATAGGAGTACAGTTACATGATCACATATGAAATATATTATGAAGAGAAAGCCAAGGTAACTACTCAATTTATGTATAAGTATCACTAAGAAAATGAAGATATGAAAAAATGCTTTTAGAATTTGTCCTGAACGGCAACATGGAAAGAAGTACCATTTCATTTGCTCTAGAAAACCTTGGGGAATAGATTTAATCTGGAAAACTCAAAAGTTACTTTTGTAAATACTCAATAGATATCTAAGTGGAGATATTAAATATGTGCAGATACCTGTTTCAAATTAAAGAAGAGATGGTGAGTGAAGACTAGCAATTTCTGAGTGATTTTAACATTAATAGGTTTGGCAAAGGAGGAATATCCTAGTTAGGACACTAAAAGGAGGTTTCAATGACCTGGTTGGATGTCTGAGACTGTGATAGTTCTTGGTAAACATTATGTTACATGAATCAATTATAGCTTTAATCCCTATACCTCCAAATTTATATGTTAAAGTCCTAACCTCTAGGACCTCAGAATGTGACTATGTTTGTTGGATACGGCCTTTGCAGAGATAATCAAATTAAAATAAGGTTATTAGGTGGGCATCAATCCAGTGTGACTGATTTCCTTAATAGAAAGGGAATTTGGGTAAAAGGAGAATGCTTAATAAACACTAAGTTGGTCATCTGCAAGCTGAGGAGAGAGGCTTGGAACAGTTCTTTCCTACATCACCTTTTGAAGGAATCAACCTTGTGTTTACATTGATTTTGAATTTTTAACATATATAATTTTAAGATAATATAGTTTTGTTGTTTAAACTACCCAGTTTGTACTACTTTACTATAGAGTCTGTAGCAAAATAACACAGATTTTTGTAATGGGAAGTGGAGGTGCTGCTGATAATGTCTAAAAATGTGAAAGTAGCTCTGAAATTGGGTAATGGGTAGATGCTGGTGTATTTTTGGGATCTTTATAGAAATATTGCCTTGGAGAAAGAGATTGTCGATAGACATATGAACCTCAAAAGGTGATTCTGATGAGGGCTCAGACAGGAAAGAGGAGAGCTGCAAAAAAGGCATCTTTTTTCTTAGAGAAAACATCTAAAAGGTGAAGGAAAGACAATCATTGTTCTAAAGTAGCTGCACTACCAATTAATGTCTGCTACAAATATGTAAGTAACCCTGAGAATCTTTGATATTACCCTTTTGTGATTTTATATATAATATCTTCACAGAATTCATTTTTCATTCCCCCTGTTACTTCACTTCTCCTTTACACTCATCTAAAGCATTCTTCTTAAGGGAAGCCTTCTCAGATCCAAGATGATTTAGAAATTTCAGCATGGCAAATCCATACCATGGCATAAAGAAATATATTCCTACTGACCCGGTTATAGTGGTTTTTAAAATTGCTGACCCTATCATATGTGCCAATCATATAGGTGAGAGAATACTGTCTTATTCATCTTGGTAATCCCAAATATATACAACAAGTTACAACACAGATAATTCATATATATTTTTAGTGGAAGAATAAAAAAGAATTAAGATTATAGTACTTCTCAGAATGTTTTATTTTGGTTTGTTTTATAGGTATATTGCTGAAATCAGCCCCAATAAAAAACAGATGGAACCAAGGAACAATGTCACTTACTTTGTTCTCTTGGGCCTTACACAGAATCCAAAGAAGCAGAAAATACTTTTTATTATGTTCTTGCTGTTCTACATTGTGACCATGGTGGGAAATTTGCTCATTGTTATCACTGTAACTCACAGTAAAATCCTGGGCTCACCAATGTACTTCTTTCTTGCTAGTTTATCATTTGTGGATATCATTTATTCATCATCAATCTCTCCCAAATTGATTTCAGACTTGTTCTTTGGGGCAAAAACTATATCCTTCAAGTTTTGTATGATTCAGCTCTTTACAGAGCACTTTTTTGGTGGATCAGAGGTCTTTCTGCTGTTGGTGATGGCCTATGACCGCTATGTGGCCATCTGTAAGCCTTTACATTATTTGATTATCATGAGGCAATGGGTTTGTGTTGTGCTGCTGACAGTGTCTTGGGTTGGAGGTTTTTTGCACTCAGTAATTCAGCTCAGCACTATTTATGGGCTCCCATTTTGTGGCCCCAATGTCATTGATCATTTTATGTGTGACATGTACCCCTTATTGAAACTCATCTGTGTTGACACCTATGTTGTTGGTGTCTTAGTGGTGGCTAATGGAGGACTGATCTGCATGATTGTGTTTCTGCTCTTACTCATCTCTTACGGTGTCATCTTGCACTCTCTAAAAAAACTTAGTCAGGAAGGGAGGCGGAAAGCTCTCTCAACCTGTGGCTCCCATATCACTGTGGTTGTCTGCTTCTTTGTTCCCTGTATTTTCATGTATGCCAGACCTGCTAAGACGTTTCCCATTGACAAATCATTGAGTGTGTTTTATACAGTCATAACTCCCATGCTAAACCCATTAATCTACACGCTTAGAAACTCAGAAGTGACAAATGCTATGAGGAAGGTCTGGAGAAGAAAAGCTGCAGCAGGTCATATGTAAGTGAATCCACTATAAGGAGAAACATTTGACTATAATGCTAGGTCCTCTTAATTCTGATGCTAACTTCCCTTCCCTCCAAAGCATTTCTGATAAATATTGTTAAGGAATGGACTATAAATTTGTGCCATTAAACCATTTCCTTGCTATGATATAGCTTCTGTAATGTCTTGCATATTACTGTACCTAGAAAAGAGTAATTTACATTATATAAACAGTAAATGAATAATATGTAATAATTGAGTTACTAAAATTTTATATTATCATGATTTTTGTTTAATTTCTGCATTTATTTTTTACTTTGTCATTTCTTTTTATTATTAGATTTTCTTTCCTTATGGAAAACCATTATTAGTTAAATATTTAAATGCTACATAGACTCTTATTTTTCTTTAGTTTCATATGAATTTTTAGTGAAGTCATTTTACCATTTAAAATAAAAATGGAAAATGACCCAAACAACGTATGCACATGTGAATTAATGAATAATTAAAAAAATAAAATAAAAATGGAAAGCTTAGGACTGGAGGCATTAGTGAAGTGGTAGAGCACCTGCCAAGAAAGGGCAAGGCTTGAGTTCAACCCCCAGTACCATCAAAAAGTGGAAAGTCTACTAGATAATGTTAAAAATAGAACCAGTACAAAATGGTAAAACTGTAGAATAAATCTGCCTGTCAATCACTAGTCTTCCAGTGCTGCTCCCTGACGCAGACACTCAACTGTGTTTCTGAGACTCTTTAAGAAGAATTCTTATCCTATATGGCAAGCATGAACTTGGAACATGTTAAGCTATATGATATAAGCCAGCCACAGAAAGACAAATGCTGTATGCTGGCATTTATATAGGGAATCTAAAATAGTCATACTCATAGGAGCAGAGAGAAGAATGGTGGTTGTCTTGGACTGAAGGGTGGGGGCAAACTAGAAATGTTTGGCAGAGTATGAACTTTCATTATGCAAAATGAATAGTTTCTTGAACCTAATATAGGGCATGGTGGCTGTACTTAATCTTATCATGTTGTATACCTGAAATTTGATAAGAGGGTAGATCCCAAGAGTTCTTATAGCTAAAAAATTTATGAAAGAAAATTTTAACCATACAAATTGATGAATGTGTTACTTAGCTTAATAGTATCATTTAATAATGTATACATATATCAACACATTGTGTTGTACACCCAAAGCATGTTTGATTTCTATTTGTCAATTATACCTTAATAGAGTGAAAAAATTAAAAAATAAAAATAAATACCAATTCTAATGATACCAGAAAAATATGATGACTGCAAAATGCAATTAACATTTATTTGCAATTCCTTTTGCCTGTAAGGTATATATGTAATGTATATTGACTAAGCTGATCACCTTTCAAAAAATCCACCCTCCAGCTTTCTTACCTGCCTGTCATAGTGTTAGCACTTTACACTAGCTAACATGCCATATATTTTACTGACAATGTTTGCCATTTGGTTTCTCTCCAGAATATAAGCTCACTTCTAGATCCTCAGTACCTATGATAGTGATGGATACTGTAATAACTGTTGAATAAATGGCTTACACAGAAATTTAAACATTAAATTTCCAAATTTTTTTGAGATATGGTCTCATTATATAACCTAGACTGACCTCTTGCCTCAGGCTTTTGAGCCCTGGGATTATAGACAAGTATTGCATAGTTTTAGATTTTAGAATAATTCAAGTTCTGCAATAGTTTATGTATCATTGTGATAACATTTTATTTTCATGCCAGCATTTATAAATGCTTACCATTTTCTAGGAATTGTGCTGTACATGTTATGTGTGTTTGCTCATTTATTCCTGACCTTGACATCATGAGGTAGGTGATCATTGGACTTGGTTTGCAGTTGTACAAAGACTCATGGAAGTTAAGAACTTGAATCAGATCAGTACCCTGAGAAAGCATTCATGACAGAAACAAAAATCACAGAAGTGTGGTCTGTGCTCACATGTGATAGATATGATTACTTGGTAATGATTGCAAGACTTTATGACCTATTTGCATAAATTGAGCAAATGGTATCAACTGATACTTTTAGTTTTTACTCTGTTTTTAGTCTTATAGTTTTATATATAACTGTTTTCTTTAAGAACATTTTATGTTTGACATAATTTCATGGTCAGATTGAAGTTGCAAAAAAATCTTAAATACCCTTCACTCAGGTTTTGCATATATTCAGTTTTCATCATTTGTTATTGCTTCCTTCTTCTTTGTGTGTATTTGTATGTATAATTTATATTTTTCTGAAAAGTTTAAGAGTAACTTTCAGTAATGATGACCCTTTAGCCCTAAAACTAAGACAAAATACCTAAAAATGGAAAAAAAATTTTGCACCCATAAAATGATCAAATCAAAAAATTGACATTGATATAATCTACACAGCTTTTTTCCATTTCACCAATTGTCCCAATAATATTCTGTTTATAGCAAAAGGAAACTCAAGATGCCACAAATTATTTTGTTATCAGATGTAAAGAATAGAGCCCTTAATGTGAAACTATCCCCAAGTTTTTCTTGTATTTTTTGGTATTGACACTTGTAAAAAGTACAGGTCATTTGTTTGTACAATATGCCTAGTATTCCTATTGAGGTTTGTTTGCTGTTTGTGGATTTTTTTTTGTTGCTGTTATTGTTGTTGTTGCTTTCCCTTATTTTATTTATTTATTTATTATTGTTTATTCATTTATTCATATGTGCATACATTGTTTGGGCCATCTCTCTCCCCTGCTCCCTGTCTCTCCCCACGACTCCCCTCTCTTCCAGGCAGAACCTATTCTGCCTTCTTTTCTAATATTGTTGAAGAGAAGACATAAATGATAGTAAGTAAGGCATAGCATTTTTGCTACTTTGAGATAAATAAAGCTATACAGAGAGATTCCTAGCATTGCTTCCATGCACATGTGTATTACAACCCAAATTGGTTCATCTCTAACAGACCTCTTCACTACTTCCTGGTCCCCTTCCCAAAGTGGCCTCTGTCAGTTTAAGATTACTTTATTTGCTCCTCTACTGTGGGCACAACAAACACTTTCAAATTTTGGGTTTCCTACCTTTCCCTATTCCTCCTGTATGTGTTCTCCCCTTAGTGTGTTACCCATGTCCAATAATATTACTGCATTTGTTTTAGGTCTAAAGTCCACGAATGAGGGAGAACATACAAGTTCTGTCCATCTAAGACTGGCTAACTTCTCTTAAGATGATGTTCTCCAGTAAAGAAGAATGAAATTATTTCTTTGTGTTTAAATTCCAGTTTTGCCTTTGGCAGGAATATCTGACAAGAGATACTGAGTTCTCAGATACCACATCAAGAGGCTGTTGATTAGCCCATAACTTGTGATGTTAAACTTAATCATTTGATTACATTGGTGTCTTCATGTACTTTTTCTTGTGATACTCAGTTTTTATCCTACCAATGAAAACATTTTTGGAGTGTTACTTTTTTGAGATCTGGTACCATTGACATTTGCCTTTCCATTTGTTCTGTCTGACTTATGGGCCCTGTATAAAATGTCAACTGCTTTGGGCAGCTCTTTAAAGATTTTTGTATTTTCATCACTATTTGTTAATAAAGACTCTCTTCTTGTCTAAACAATATATTTTTAAGGGATCCAAGTGTACCCAAAATTGGGCAGTCCAGATTTTATCTTTCTCTACTTTATACTGTTGTTTTTTCCCTCCCTCAAATTTCAAATGATCTCCTCTAACAGTAAATAACAGGACATACAACTTGTTTGTAATAGAATGTTGTCTTTGCTGAAGTAGGCAGACAAAATTGGTAGCCAGATTGGAAGAAAATGGGGGCTTGGAGACATTCATGGTGGCATCCTATTTCCTCACCTCACACTATGCAAGGCTGTGTATTTCCTTCAATGCTGATTCTTAGGATGATAGGAGATATCCTTGAACATTATAATTTAAATTTTGTCTCATGTATTTTTAATGCTACATAAAGATTCACACAGAAGAGGAAATTTCTGCTTTTAAAATAATCCTTAGGAAAAGAAAAATAGTTTTTATTACTTCATTCTTCACCATGAAACTAACTTGGGCTTTTAAATTTATATTTTTGACATTATATAAAGAAAAAATTCCTTAAGTGTTCAAAAAAGAAGAATCCTTGCATTCTCATGAAATAACAATATTTTTCCAGAAAATAATAAGGCATTAATTGTGATTAAAAACTTGTAATTGCAATCCCATGCTTTTTCTTTTTTACCTATTTGATGAAGAATAAATACATTTTTAATATTAAAGTCTTATGTTTAGAGTGCTAATTCTGGCCAAGATGGGGAAATACAGATCAGCTTTACTTCCTTTCTAAAATAAGCACAATCACCAGAAAAGAGAAAATCAATGATTTTCATCACACCAGACATCAAGAAACAGCTATTAGTGATCATTGGGACATGGAAAACAAACAAGTTTAGTGTTAAGATAGTCTCTCCTTGACCACCTTTACAAAGTTTCCATACTATCTACATAAAGGATGCCTAGGAATATCAATATACATTCTCTGGGTGGGGGAAATGAAAGTATGTCTCCTCTAAAGACCAAGTTGACTGGAATCTGGAGGGCAGAATACAGGATAAGTGGTATTGGACAGGGACATGAATGGAGGAAGAAAGATAATGGTGAGAGTGAGAGTGAGAGTGAGAGAGAGAGAGAGAGAGAGAAAGACAGAGAGAGAGAGAGAATGAAAACTGAGATTCCATCAATTATTTCTCAAAGTGCATGCATTTGAGGAAGCTACTTGAGGTTGTGGAAGATCTATTGGGACAGATTAGAGAGAAGAATGTGTAGCACTTGCAGGTCCCAAAATAGTGCCTATACTCACCAGTGTGACTGGAAAATATTATATTTAAAGGGCAGGAATTTGAGCTCAATAGTTAGATAGACCTTGCCAATTAGTGGGGCATAATTAGCTTTAGAATGAGCACTGTTTCAGACCTTCCTGATAAAACACAATTATTAAATGGAAATATAAAACAGAAAAATAAAATGATTTCCAAGCAACTTAATTGCATTACGGCACACACACACACACACACACACACACACACACACACACACATACAAATATAAAAATCCAGTACTTAAATAGTAATGTCATGGCATCCAATGTAAAATGTTAAGCAGGAAAAAGAAATGCAAAATCATGCTTATTATGTGTGAGAATAATTACTAACTTAGAATTAACATATTTGTTAGCAATGCTATACAAGGATACCAAAACTAATTATAAAAATTTTCATAGGTTTAAACATTGAATTAGAGATATGGCAGATCATATAGATCCAAGCTACAGTTGAAATGAGATAAAATATACAATGAGGGGAAAATGGTGGATGGGTTGATAGAAGAATACACATTGTAGGAAAAGAAGTTACAATGTAATACTCAAAACTACACTATATATATATGTATGTATATGTGTATATATATATATATATATTCTTTGAAACAAAAGCTCATGTAAGTGATTACGGAATAACATCAAATGACCTAATCAATGAATAGCTGGGATTTCTAAAGGAAAACTGTGATAAAGGACAGAAAAAGTATTCCAACAAATAATAAATAAAAAATTCCAAGTATATGGAATATAAGCCCAATACAAATATAAGCAATAGTATGGAAACCAGGTTATGCTAAGCAGAGGTAACTAATGGAAGAAGAAGGGTAACAGAATGAAGTTAAGAAGGTGAATATAGTTGATGTACTCTCTATGCAAGAATGAATACAGAATTTTTAAACCTGTTGAAATCACCATAAGGAGGGACTAAGGTAGACAGGAGAAAAGTGGAGGGGATGAACCAATTTGGGAAATAATACATGTACACATGAAAACGTCCTAATGGAACTCCTTGCTAAAACAAGCAAAAATGTCTTTTTTCAAAAATTAAGGACAAAGAGGTAAAACAGGTCCTGCCTGGGGGTTGGTATAAGTGAGGAGTATATAACAAAAGGGTGAATATGGTGGAAATTTTATGTACTCATGTATGAAAATTGAAAAATAAGAGCTGTTGAAACTGTTCTAAGAAGGCCTTGGGGGAGGGAGTGGAAGAGAGAGATAAAGGAGAACTGTGGGAGTGAATTTGATAAAGATATATTGGAAGCACTTTTGTAAATGTCACAATGTACCATCTGTACAACAATAATACGGTAATAAAAATAAAATAGAATTTTAAGTCACTCAATGAAACACAGACACAAGAAATGTAAAGAAAGCAATATGTAAGCACCTCCAAGTCAATAACAGAAAAAAATGTTAATATCCAGCTAGAATAACATGTATAGAGAAAAAATTGGGAGCACATCAGCTTTCTTTGAACAAAAGAGGAAACTAAGACAAATAATGGTGCTCCACTGAGTAACGTTTTAATCATTTGAAGGAAATTTTGTTCATTCTGTACATGAAAAAATATCTTTCAAACACAAACATGAATTAAAGGTGCTTCAAGCATACAATTGTAAGAGAATTCATCAGTATATGATTCTCAATACAAGATATATTAAAGTAAGTTACTCATGATTATGACAAATGATGCTAGTTGGAAAATGTATCTATGCAGAGGAACAAGGATCAACAGAAATAATAACTGCATGAACAAATATATAAGATTTTTCTAACTATTTAATCTCTTAAAGATATAATTAGCTGTTTAACAAAACAAACAAAATTCTATCATACTATGGTGTTTAGACATGGATACAAGTAATATGTGTGACAATAACAGCATAATGGGTGGAACAGAAATGTATGTATACTATTTTTGCTATTGTAAAGTTTTTATTCAAAGTATTATAATATCACTTCATGGGAGACCTTGACAAGTTAATCTGTATACTGCAAATCCTTTGCAAATAAAACTAAGGATTATGACTAATAAAAGCTAAGAGAAGTAGAATAAAGTATTTCTGAACTTGATGTCTGGCTTTTTGAGTTAACCCAGACAGAGGGAACAAATTTATAAGAATAGGAGCAGTGAAACCATATGAGACCTACACAACATAATTATTATACAAGCACAATATCACATTACAGAAGTTCAAAGTGGAGAGCATGGTGAAAGATGCAGTACATATTTAATGAAACAAGAATTAACAATTTCTGGGAGACACATGTACATTCAGATCCATGAACCTCAAAGAACCCTAATTAGATTCAATCCCAACAACTCCTGCTGAAGGCCCATTATGACAAAGTGTTCAAATGTCAAGGACAAAGAGAATCCTTAAAGTAGCAATAGAAAAATATCAAGTCACATGTAAGGAAAACCCCACTGGGTTAATAGCAGATTTCACAGCAGAACCTTTTCAGGCCTAGAGAAAATGGATTGATATATTTTAAAATATTGACTTTCAAATTACTATTACCAAGATAATATATCCTTTAGAAATGAAGAGGAAACAATTTTTCTCAAGCAAGCAAACTGAATGAATTCATTTATGACCTTAAAAGAAATGCATAAGAGAGTCTCATATCTACAAGGAAAAGGAAAATATTTAAGTGAAAATAAGGCAAAATGTAAAACTTGCTATTAGAGTACACACACATATGATAAACAGTAAAGAGCCAAATCATTTCACTACAGAAAGCCACCAAATAACAATAATTAATGAAAAAAGAAAGAAATTTAGGACATTCCAAACACCAGAAAACACTTTTGGATGAAAAGATATGAACTGTGAAAATAGAAAAATAGCAAGACCCAAGTATAAAAAATTTACTTTATCAGTAAAGACACACATAAATTGAAATAAGGGAATGGAAAATACATCTACATAAATGGAAACCAAAGGTGAACAAGAGTAACTATAATCATATGAGATAAAACAGATTTGGGCAGAAAAAATCTTGTAAAAATAACCTGCAATCATATAATGAGAAAAGAATCTTGAGTGAGAAGATATAATAATATGTGTGGATGCAATGCCTGACCAACCTAAAATATAAAATAAATGAGGCCTATAAAATGAGAGATAGCCTCTAAAGTAATAATAGTTGTGGACTTCAACATCCCACTTTCACCAGTGGACAGAAGTGTAATTAGATAATCAACAAAGAAACATCACAATCAAAGTAAATTAGTACTTTGATTATAGATTAAAAGATTATAGATCTTTTCATCCAAGAGCTGCAGAATTCACAGTTTTCTTATTGCACAAAACATTTCTCAAGATAGAAAATGTTAGTCTCAAAACAGGTCTCTTCTAGTTAAAAAAGCCAAAATCATATCATACGTCTTATATGCCCACAACAGAATGAAATTCAAACTCAGCTACAGTGGAACTATGGAAATTGTGCAAAATGTAGAAAATAAATAATATAATCTGTAATGACCAATGAATAAATGAATAAATTAAAACTTTTGCAACTTTTAAGTTGCATATTTAGTTCTTTTGGATATATTAAATTGGGCAAAGCAAAGGGTTTCACCATGACATTTCCATAAGTTTATGTAATGTACTTTGATCATATTCATCTCATCTATTACTCTTTCTTATATCCTTCTTCCCTACCTTTTTTCCCTTCCACTTACACCTCCTTAGTAGTTTCCCTTTTACTTTCATGACCTTAGCTATTTTGTTTTGTTTTCCTTTAGCTTTCACAAATGGCAGAAAACATGTGATACTTGTTTTAGTATTACTGTTATACTTCACTTCACATGATAATCTTCAGTTACGTTAATATTCCATCAAATGACATAATTTCATTCTCAATGGCTGGGTAAACTCCACTGTTGTATAAATACAGATGAATGCATACATATACATCCCCACACCCATCAAATTGTGTCTATTCACTCATCCTTTGATGGGCACCTAAGCTGATTCCATAACCTGGTTATTGTGAACGGTGCCTCAATAAACATAGGTATACAGGTATTTCTATAATGAACTTATTTTGATATTTTTGTCTTTATACCCAGAAGTGTTGTAGTTCAGTCAATGGGAGTTCTATTTTTAATTTTTTGAGGGACCTCCACAGTGGTTATCAAAACGGCTAGACTAATTTACAATCCCAGTGAATAGGAGTTCCTTTTTTCCCAGCATCTTTGCTAGTATTTTTTAATTTATGTTTTCTTTCTTTTCTTTTTACTTTTTTGGTGGGACTTGAATTTGCACATAGGACTTCATACTTTCAAAGCAGGCACTCTACCACCTGAGCTGCATTTCTAGTCCATTTTTCTCTGGTTATTTTGGGAGATGGGAATCTTGAGAACTATTTGTTTAGGCTGGCTTCAAACCTTGATCTTCCTGATCTCAGCCTCTCAAGTAGCTAGAATTGGGAGTATAGCTTACTATGCAAGCATTTGTCTAAATGTTCATGGGACTGGGCCCAATCCACAGCATGTTTCAGAGTAAACAGGCTAGCTGGGGTCTCTTGTGTGCATATATTAAAGGATATGGTAAAACTCATTTTTATATGTATTATGGAAATATCACAATGAAAATCTTTCATGTTGTACTATTAATGTAAAATTTTATAAGTGCAAAAATAATTCTAAATGAAAAATATTTTTCAAATCAGAGTAAACATAAAAATATTCAATAATTCATTAAATGCTATTTATTGAGTTTCTACTCTCTATGGCTTATACATTTCCAGGTGCACTGATAAGCAATATCATATTAGATAGCTTAAATTACAGAAGAAAGTTGTTATTGAAAGTACAAATAAATAATTCAGACTTTAATTATACTTCTCGTAAGTGCTTTGGTTGTAAGGGAAGCTAGCATCAGAATTGAAAAGAATTCTCTCCTCGTGGTGGATGACTCACTTTTTTACTTGCTTACATGACTTTCATTTGTAGAGTTTCTTCATGGCATGTGCTGTCTCTGAGTTTCAGGAATGTACATTAAGGGGTTCAGCATGGGGGATGTGAGTATATGAAACACACTCAATGATTTGTCAATGGGGAAATACTGTAAATTGTTTCTGATTGCTCCTTTGAAATATGTTGTGTTCATATCATGACACTAATGTATAGGTTGGGAAGACAATTTTTGAGTGATGTTGTTTCTATAGGAAATACCCACAGGTATCCTGATTGAATTTAAGAATAAATCAGGGTTTCCTCTATCCATTCATTAATCAATATTTTCAAATTTTAAATAGTAGAATAATATAATTAGGAGACATATGTTAAAAATATTAGAATGAAAGTTTTGAAAACAAATATACTTATTTTAAATGATATCAGTATATATTTATTAAATCCAAACTAGTTAATGGAAAAATTTATCCTTCAATAAAGTGACTGAATTCAAAGATAAGCTTTCTTGCCACAATTATTATGAAGTGACCAACTTTCTTGCCACAATTATTTACAAAATACAATTTAGAATGTATATTTTAAATTAAGGTAACACAAATTACAAAGTATAAACTCAAATAAGAATGTGAAAGATCTACCTGATGAAAACAAAATGTTTAGAAAAAAAGAATTACTGAAAAATCTCAAAGATATAACCAAATAGAGGATTTATGTTCCCAAATGGAATGATGGAATGTGGTGAAAATTTCAATACTTTTGCAAATCAGTTACACATTTAACATATTCTCAGTCAAAACATAAGAAGGTCCAGACAACCTTCAGAAATCATCTCAATGTTGGAAAATGTTCTTAACAAGAGTATTAGGTGATAGGCCTTTTATTACAAATTAAAATCTTCTTACATAAGCTAAAATGATATTGAATTAGGAATAATCAATTGATCAAATAAAGATATCTAAAAAGACATACATAAATATTTGGACATTAGATGTAATGTATATGACATGTCAGATTAGGGAAAACGCTTGAACTTTTTTAGGGGAAAGATAATTATATTAAAAAGGAAACATATCCTGCTTATAAATGTCCAAAGAATATGAATAGATAAGTCTTCTCAAAAAAAGCATATAAATAACACAAATATATGAAAAAAGGCTCAAAACAGAATCATTAGAGAAATGAAAAGTAAAAGCAAATGATATATCACTTCACAACTGTTAGAATGACTATTATGAAGTGTGACAAAGATATGGGGCAAAGGGAATGCTTGAACACTGTTGGTGAGAATGTAAAGTATTAGAGCTATGTGGAAAACAGATGAAGTTATTAAAAAATAGAAATATAACTGTCATAAACAATCCCACTTATGGTTATATAGAGGACTTGAAATTCAGGATGTCAAAGAGGCATGTATATAAATTCATTGCAAACTTATTGATATTAGCAAGATATCAAATTAACCTCAGTGTTTATCAACAGGTGAGTGAGTAAGGGGAATGTGTCACACATATACAATGGGATGTTATTCAGCTTTATTAAACAGGAAATCTCATTTGTAACAACATGGAAGAATCACATAAACCTTCTGTTAAGTGAAATGAGTCAGGCACAGAAAGACAGAAGCCACACAATCTCAGTTACACATGGAATCTCCAAAATCGTTAATTCAAGGCAGTCAAAAGCAGAATGGTAGTTACCAGGGGCTGGAATAAGTGTGTGGGGAATTGTTGGTCAAAGAATACAAAATTTCAGTTACAGAGGAGGAATGAGTTCATGAGCTCTATTATACAACCTGGTGAGTATGGACAATAATAATGTGTTCTTGAAAGTCTACAAGACTAGATTGTGTTTTCATGACAAAATCGCAAACTGTATGATGCAATTCATACATAAATTAAACCTTTCTACAATCTACAAATATACCAAACAAGTGTAGATCACAAATATATACAATTTTCTTGATTAATTTATTGAATATAAAGAAAAATATTTTTAAATTAATATTTCTATTCACCAAATGAAATAATTGTGTATAAAGTAACAAGACAAATAGAGAACAATATGTGATGCATATTAAAATAAAGAACTAGTATATAAGATAACTAAAGAATGCCAACAATTTAATAATAATGGGAAAATAACATCAAAAATTGTCTGTAGATGGCAGAGTGGCTCACATGGTAGAGCACCAGCCTAGGAAGCATGAGGTCCTGACTTTAACCCTTTGTACTGTCAAAAAAATATGGCCAAAGAAATAAACACACATTTAATAGAAAATGATAAAAAATGGATGTACAATAAATATATGAGACATGCTCAGTCTCAGTAGCAATAAGGCAAATAAAAATCAAAATGAATGTGGCCATTGCATTTAGAAAATTATCAATCATCTCTCAATATCAAGAGTTGGTGAGGATATAAAGCAATGGGCTTTTACTCACTATGTGGAATGCAACTTATAACACAACATTAAGGGAAGTGCATTCATCTGTGAAAGTTAATGTATAGCAATACTAATTAAAACAAAATACTTTTCAAGATATCTAGAGCAAGTCTATGTGTTGCATAAAAATAATAAAAAAACTAAAACAGGTAGTCAATGACTGAATAGATAAATAATCACATAATACACAGTAGGAGACTGGGTGAAATTAATATGCAGGAGTGGATCAAATCTTAGAAAGTTAATATTGTATATGAAATCAGAAAATATGAATTACATGGTATGGTTGTAATAAAGGTAAGTAATAAGAAATTGATGTATTTAAAAAATATATACATTTATAGTTAAACTATTTTAGACTATGTTTAATAAAAGTTTAGCACTTGAATTACTTCTTGGGGAGTAGAGGAATGGCATCAGGAAGGAATATAAATGCACTTTCAATGATTTTCACAGTATTTTAGGTAAGCTTCTATAACATTTATAAATAAATTATATATATTATTGGGTATGCATTAAATTATGATAAAACATTTTAATATAATGAAATTTCTAATACATGTATATCTTCAGTGAGAAAAGTAGACACATTGCATATTAATCATCTATACTTGATAATCTTCTAACATGACCACTGGTAATAAAAATAAAATTTTTCTGGAATTTTGACTAAATCAGTAAGTTTTACCTGAACTTCTAACAAATGCAAAAAAAAGCCTAACTATGGTATAATGGGTATGATAATTTGCTTCATGTTAGTAGCTTTTATATTATCTATAGGTATCATATGCCATAACAATGTGTACCTTAACTATACATAAGAAAATTTAGTTAAAAAAGAAAAAGCCAAATAGCAACTACTTTATAATGTAGGTGATGTTTCCGTATTGCAGTGAAAGTAATTCTGTCTTCTTCATGGTTTGTGATGGTCAAAGATGAATACAGACTGTTTTCTTTAACATACAGTTGTAAAATAAAATATTGATTATACCAAAAATCAATCTAAATCTATAAGTGAAATATTTCAATTGAAAATAAACTTTAGAAAAGATGGTGCTTATCCAAAACAACACATTGTTTGATAAATTCATCATTATGAGGGTAAAATGATAAATATTATATATTTTTATTTGAAAATGACAAAATTACAAATGTTGACTAGTGAAAATTATCATAAAAATATGTTTATATGTGGCTTAATATGGTTTTCTAAAAGCAGCTATCTAACCTGTGGGGGTGAATATGATTGAAGTACATTATATACATGTATGAGACTATCACAATGCCACAGTTTTTACAATTAATATATGCTAATTAAAAAATCAACTGGAATATCAAGTTCATCCCATCTAAAGAAACTGCACACTGGTAGTGTCATTACTAAACACACTATCACCTCCCATTCAAATATACTGAACTTAAAATGCATAGACATGTATCTACAGAACAGAAGTATTTCTAAGACACTGTGCATAATGCAGGCAAATAAATCTGCCATGTTCATACAATGAACACTACAACTTGTCAATCTCTCTTTTAGTCCCAGAAATTTATCTAAGCATTTAGCCACATTCCTTTGTCATGAGTGTGAACGAAGCTAAATTCAAGAGGTAGTTTATTTTATTGCTTTGGAAAGAGAAAACACTTTTTCTAAGCTCTATTTCAAACTAAATTGAGGAAAAATAAATTTACAATGTGACCTTAGCTCTATCTTTACTTAGAACATGCCCAAATTTGTGCCTTGCATTTGGTTTATATAAATTATATAACAGATTGATTCTCTTCTCAAAGAATAATTTACTTTGCTTTTTGAGGGCTTTAAATGAAGAGAAGCATCCCTACTGAATCTCTTCTATAGATCACACAATTCTTCGTAAGAATTTACTCCCTGTTAAGATTACTATCCTGTTTTATACAGAGACATTTTTATTCTATCTTTAAACTTTTCACACCAAATTTTTTCCATAGAACTTTTCATCTCTGAATTTCTCAAGGTGTATATCAAAGGATTCAACATGGAAGTAATAACTGTATAGAAAACAGTCATGAATTTATCAACAGGAAAGTTAGAAAGGGGTCTAACGTACATGAAAATACAGGGAACAAAAAAGAGGACAACCACTGTCATGTGAGAGCTACAGGTTGACAGAGCTTTGCGCCTCCCTTCCTTACTGTGAGTCTTAAGAGAGTTCAGGATGATTGCATAGGAGATTAGGAGAAGGATAAAGATCACCATACAGATTGCTCCACTATTGGCAACGACAGTGAGACCTATAAAGTAGGTGTCAGTGCATGCAAGCTCTAACAATGGGTACATGTCACAGATGAAGTGGTCAATGACATTGGGACCACAAAATGGGAGAGTATACACAAAGACAAATTGAACAACAGAATGTGCTAAAGCTCCAGCCCAGGCCACTAACAATAGGAGGATACAAATCTGTTGATTCATGATGGCCAAATAGTGCAGTGGCTTACAAATGGCCACATAGCGATCATAGGCCATCATCACCAGAAGAAAGACCTCAACACCACCAAAGAAATGCTCTACAAAGAGCTGGCCCATGCAGACAGGGAAGGAAATGGTCTTTTTATCATAGAGCAAGTCTATGATCAACTTGGGTGAGATGGCAGTGGAGAAAAGAGCATCCATTAGTGACAGAGAGACAAGGAAGAAGTACATTGGGGAGTCCAAGGAAGGGCTGGCAATAACAGTCACCACAATGAGCAGGTTCCCCACCATAGTCAAAATATACATGAGTAAAAACATGACAAATAACACTTTTTGCCCATTACGATCCTGAGTGAGGCCCATCAGAAGAAATTCTGTGACATTGTTACTTTGTGTCATTTATTCTTCTGTAAGGCTTGATTCAGAGATGAAAACTCAGGAGAACAGGATCTGTCATGAAAAGGGGCAGTACCATGAATCCATTCTGTTATGAAGCCTACATTTCTTCAGTGGTTATCCATGATAAACACTTCCTAAGTATCTATTGTGCTCAACTTCCAAGGAACCCATACATTTTTGTGAATAATTCTATTTTTATTGGATTATTTTGTTGATCCTAAAAGGACTATATTCTATCTCCATACTTCAGTGGATCTCAATACAATATAGTAGACAAAGGCACCACTGTCACAAATATTTAAAACTTCTTCTTAAAATATGTTATTTCTTGGTACAGAAATCACCACTGATGTACAGAGAAAGGCTTCCTGCTTTCAAGAAACCTACTGTCCTAGGCAAAAATAAATCCTAAATATATCAACCAGCAGAGTTAGTCCATTGAGTTTTGTGTGGAATCATTGTAAAATATGATCTGTGTAGCCTCCAAATAGCACATATCCTGCAATGTCCATCTTAATGCTATGATATTGCTCTATTAATGTCCTCCAGGACATCTAAAAGGAATTCTAGTCTTCAAATTCTCTTATGAAATTGCAAGACACTTGACTTTTATTATGAATTGACTATAAAATGATTCAGCACATCGCAGTCTGGAATAATTACTCATCTGACTTTGTCAGTTTTTTTAGGAACTATAATTCTGTCCATTTCATCCATGCCTATATCAGTCTTAACCTGTTTACGTACACTATCATGATTTCTTTTAGTAAACATGTTTTAATTGGGCTATACTACTCATGAGACTCAGTCACTACTTTCTCAACAGCTAACATATATTGTAAAACTGCTGGGGTAAGCTAAATAATGAGAGAGGAGAAAGTAGAAACTGAAAAGAAAGTAGAGAACACAAGAACTTGTATTTATATATAAGACTTGCTAGGTACTGAGAGTGTTCAAAATAGATCATCAGTATCCAAATTCCAAAAAAGCAGTGCATTCTTGGGAAAAGTTCATGCTTGGCATGAAAATGTATGGATTTGGGTCATTTTCTAAATATATTTACAAATATGTCAGTGTGCACCATGTAAAAGAGATAAGTGGAATGATTTCAGAATCCTTTCTGGTCTAGCTGTTCACACCACTATTAGTACAGTCATACCTTTTTATTTTCTGTTGATATTTTTCTTTTTTAATATTTGTATAATCAAATAACAATTCCCAAGATGATTACTGTTTCTTAGAAAACACTAGCCAGTGGTCAATAGGATGTAGTCACAGGGTGACCACAGAAATGACTCTAAATTTCTCATTCAATGTGTACCTAATAAGACTCAGGACAAAAACGTGGGGAAAGAATGTAGCACAATGGTGAATAATGTAACTTGTGCTATATCCCAGATTCATTCACTTACTTAACCAATCCTGTTGTTTTTTTTTTTTTGCATCATTTTTTGCATGGGGATATCCATAGCATCTAATTTCTAGGGATATTCCTGTTTATTACATGTAAAGCACATAGAACACAACTGGACACCTAGCAAAGTCTAAATAAACAATACCTGTTATTAATATTCTTTTATGTTTCAACGTAAGCATAGGATCAGAATAAATTATAACTATCCCCATTAATCTAAATGGGAATATTGACATAGTACTGAATGTAAATTATAGTATACCTTGCAATTCATGAATGTATTAAAAATTTAAAATTATTAAATATTATTAAAATATATGTTATGAATTATCTATTTTGTATTGAATAAGCATTGCAATATTTTAATGTGAAGGAATGAATTTTGAGTAGAAACAAGCAAAAGCATTCTATGCATATGGATTTAGTAGTGAGGAGGAATCAGAATAGTCTGAGATTTATTTAGAAGTCAGCTGTGATGACCTTCTATGTGCATCATACACATTACTGTCAACACTGGATTCGTGAGAATTTTTACCCATTCAAGCTATAGATTGGCAACTGCACATCTTTGAAGAACATAGGGGTAAAAGTAATTTATACTGTTTCTGTCACATCTTACTTTCTGCAACCGTTAGTGTCTTTACTCTCATTATTTATCAGTGCTGTATTTCACATGGCAAATCTACTTTATTTATTATTTATAATAAAGTGAAATAGAGACTTAAAGTATATTGTATACCACATAAGTTCAAATGATATTATAACAATGAATGATATTATAACAATGGTTTCAACTAAAACCATTAACACTTTTGTCATAAAAGAAATTTAGTAATGTTTAAGAACATAGTTTTTTTATAAAGATAACCCTGTAATAATAGATGAGGTACTTCCCTCATCACCAGTTTGTCTATCATACTTTGTAAAATGTTGCCGAGATCATTTTAAGATTTCACGCAGAAAAACCCACCTGAAGCTTCTAGAACATGATAGACATTTTCCTTTACACTCTAACACACTTAGCATGATATATAATTTTAAATTTTCTAATGCAGATACCTCTTAGGAGAACATATAGCCATTAAAATATTAGTTGTGTTTCAGTGTATCACAAAAATACTCAAATAGTGTACTTTGTCAGTTGTTTAAAGAACTTCCATTGTGGGTTTGTCATTGGTTCAGGAAATCAATGCCTCCTTTACTGAATTGATTACTTATACCTCACACCCCAATAGCCTTCAAACAATGCACAACAATGGATGGATGCTCAGTGGATCTAGAAATAGTACCAAGTGGTTGCAACAAATATATTTGCACAAGGCTTCCCATGAACTCAGTCTTTTAGAGAAGTGAAAAGGTGTCCAAAGTACATGTCTAAGGCATAAAGACATTCAAATATAATGTCAATACTTACTGTACAAAGGAAGTTGAATATTTTTGCCAGCTGTGAAAATGTCTTCATAGTATAGTGAAGATGCTACATAGCACAACTATGTAAACATTGACCAAGTGATTAGAAAGTAACTTTTCCAAACTCATTTTTGTGACATAAATAAATAAAAAATTAAACCAAAAATAGTTACCAGAATTTTCTCCTTTCAGTCAATAGTGGTGAAGCACTCAAAAAGGGACTTTGCTTTAGGATTCCAATAACATTCATGTGTGTAATTATTAAGGTCTTTACCTAACAGGGCAAAGGCTGAGGTTTAACTTCATGAGAAAGTTGATGATTGAGGTTTTTCACATCTACAGGCAGAATTCTTCAGTCTTTTGGTCACTCAAATAGCATCTTCTGAGGCCCTTAATTCCTGATTAAAAACATTTCACTTTATTCCGCAATATCACCCCAGGATATTGAAACCTTCCATTTGTATAGCAATGATGGGTATAGCAAGAGAAAATGGCAACTCAGTGCTAGATACCAACTGAGACAAACTCTAGCTGGTGAATAATTAGACCTTTCTAAAATTTCTTTCGTCAATCTGTTAGAAAAAAAATGATTTCACTTCTACGTGTAGATACTTCTGTATGTGCAGATGACTATTTATAACATCATTGTTGTAAATGGAAGATGTCATTATAGATTTGCTTATTAGATCACTTGGGACAGATTCATGTGAATCTCTCCTGAACAAGTTCCTCCCCTTGAACAATCCCTAGAAGAAAAACACTTGGGTCTTGCCACATGACAGTAGGCAACTTGCAAGTGATCTGAAAATCCCACGATGTGAATAGAAAAGTTACACAGTGTAGTGACTAATAAACTGAGTTGCATATTATTAAAGGTTTAGGTAAGGCAAGAAATATTTAAACAAACCTAAAAAAGGATGTTGTCACAGTCCTCTTACCTAAGTGCCCTGCAGAATATGGTGACCTTTCTCTGACTGTGAGACAGACTCTTCTCAACAACCTCTGAGGTATACCACTTGGAAGTGGAAATTCTATTGTAGTTAACATTCTAATTCTTGAAAAGCCAGGAAACCACAGTTCTGCACTTTAGTAGGAGTAGGGGATTTTTATCAAGGTCTGAACTTATACCAGATGTATTAGAGTGATCACCATTCTATTAATTCAATCCATTCCTAGTTGAATAACTATTTCTTCAAGACAGACACATTTTCCCAAAAGTGACAGTGCTTAAGAGCTTCCACTGTTACTCTGCTAACTTTGTCATCAGTTCCACTATGCATATGTTATCATGTGTTTTATTACAAATTGAGTCTTCTGTCATAAAGACCTATGAGTTCCCCTGAAAGTTGGCAGTTTTACCTTCTTAACAACTGAACTAAATCTAGCAAGCTCAAATGGAATATGTATAAATTTAAGATACAGTACATGTTCAATCATCTTCCCTCTCCTATTGATAAGTAGGTAAATGCACAAATGTATCTTTAATTTGGAAGAAACATCTCTCTAAATGATCAAATTTTTATGGGTCACATTAGAACTCAAACATGGAGAATTTATATACGGTCAGGCATCAGTTCATGTATCCCTTTCATCTGAGTTCAAAGAACTACTCCTGCTTTCCACTCATCTGAATGAGACAAAAACTGGTTATAAAATATGATGTGTACGTCAGCCCAAAATCTGAATTTATTTGCTCCATTAAGAAAAATACATTGACACTATTATCTGATAGATGTTGCCAAAAATCCCTACATGCTTGATAGTTAAGTAATACAGTTTTCATAGTGAAAAATATATCAAAACAAAACCCAGGAAATATTCTGAGATTAATAATAAAAATGTTATATATGACAGTTTATGAACCAGCAAAACTCTTGCATGTGATTAAAAAATTAAAATTAGAAAAACCAATGAAATTAAAATCCATTTTAGAAGTTATCTGTATTAGCATAATATGCACCATGTTCATTCATGTTGTCACAAATGATGTGAAACATAACACTTACCCCATAACTACATATAATAATCATATGTTGGTTAAAAATAAAGTGTTGTTAAATCCATTCATGTTCATCCATGTTGTTGTAAATTCATAAAGGGCAGGCCTTCTTTTTAAAGGTAGAATGTTTGTGCATGTGTGCACACGTGGTGTGTGTGTGTCTATAAAGGGTAGAAA